GAAAGTTCGCTCCCGGCTTCCCATCCTCGGGCGGCAGAAGTGGCCCCTGGCGTCGCCGTGGCCTCCCTGCCCCTCCCGGGGTTCCGCGCTCCAAGCCCATCTGCTGGGTCTATTCCACGACCCACCTGCACGACCCACCTGCAGGCGGCCTAAGGCTCTTCCCATGCCCGGGGGCTGAGTCTTCCCTTCGGACACCACCCCTGAGTCGCTTACCTCCTGGTGCCGAAGGGCCCACCTGTGCGCAGCGAGTTGAGCCACTGTAGTGTTCTGGCCTCCACTCTTGGCAGGTGGCAGTGAGTAAGAGCTGGAGGCTGGAGGTCAGTCCAAGTGCTTATTCAGGGAGCCAGGAGGCCGCCTGAAGTAAATGATGACACGTTAGCGGCAATAAACTCTGGACTCAGAGCAATGAAAATAGATGATCGAAAGATATTTTTAGACATGCTAAGTTTTAAATGTTCCTTCCATGCATCCTTTCTCAGAAAAACAACTGGAGAATGTGCTCCACTGCAACACAGGAGTGATGAGGGGCTGACAGCAGGGAAGGTGACACCCAAGACCACTGTGGTAGGCAGAGGGGCCCCGAAAGGTCCACACCCCACTCCCCGCAGCCTGGGAATATGTTACAGTACCTGGCGAAGGGGACTCTGCTGATGCGATTGGTTATGGACCCGAATGGGAAGCGTATCCTGGGTTGTCCAGGTGGACGATTCTAATCGCACAATCCTTTAGAGCAGTGGTTCTCAACCTTGGCTGCACATTAGAATCACCTGGGAATCTTTTTAAAATCCTGATTTCTGGGCCTCATCCTCCGGAAATTCTGTTTCTTTGTTACTAAGGCCACCCACCCCATAACAAAGAAACAGAATTTCTGGAGGATAAGGCCCAGAAATCAGGATTTTAAAAAGATTCCCAGGTGATTCTAATGTGCAGCCAAAGTTGAGAACCACTGCTTTAGAAGCAGATACTATTTCCCAGCTGGAGTCAGAAAAGTGAAGTGGAAGACATCAGAATGATTTAAAGTCCAAGAGAGCTTTCATCTTCCTTTGCTTGAAGGGAAAGAAACATGGAAAACATGAGAGAAAAAAAACGCTGGCAGCTTGTGAAAGTCAAGAACTGGCTGGACTTACAGTGCTTCTAATGGTTAATAAATGAGTTTTTATAGCTATTAGGTGTATTACAACCAGGCCTGAAAGAAGACAAGACAAAATGTCTTAATGCTTTCTACTAATTAAGGGATGTAAATTAGCCTCCTGTTTCCTATGAAGCCATAGATTAAAGTCAGAGAAATGATAGGGCTGACGAATTTGGCAAATAAGAACACAGCAGACTCAGTTCAAACAGAATTTTGAATAAAATTTTAGCACAGAAATACTCATACTATAAAATGTTTTGTTGTTAGAAATTTAAAATTGACTGGTATTTGTCATTTATATAGCAACCTAAAGTGAGCCCTCAGACCAATGGTTCTCAACCTTGGCAGCACACTGGCAACTTCTGAAGAGCTTGTGAAAATACTCATGCCCCATTGTCTCCCTGTGGAACCGCATCGGAATTTCTTTCAGTGGGGCCTCAGGTGACTCCAATGTGTGGTCAAGGTTGAGAACCATGGTCCTTAAGAGTAGTGAATTTGCACAAGTCTGGTGAACTAAAACTAGCCCAGGAGGTCATGGTCAGATTCCCGGTCAGGGCACATGCTCAGGTTGTGAGCTTGATCCCCAGGAGGGGTGTAGGTAGGAGGCAGCAAATCCATGATTCTCTCTCATCATTGATGTTTCTCTCTCTCCTTCTCCCTACCTCTCTGAAATCAATAAAAAATATATTCAAAACAAATCTACCAATAGTTCAAAATTTTGATCTGTTATATGGAGTGCTAGCTACTGTTTTTATTTTGAGCCCTCTGAAATTTGGTAATATGCTTTCCGTGTATTTAACCATGCTAAATTCCAGTCAAGAGCATGGTTTGGAAACCTTGCATCATAAGTAGATACTGTCTGTCTTTTAAAACAGCACTTTCCAAGCCTTGACTGTTCTCTGGGCTATTAGCATGTAATTTACATTTTTGGCCACCCTTCTTGTGCCTTCTTATGATTTTTCTTCTTGTTATAGGTGTCCCTTACTATTTCTTCTGTGTACTTTTGGTGATAGACCTGGAAGATAGAACTGGGTAGTTGAAAAGATAGGGGGGAAAAAATGAAGAAATAAAATTTGAAGGTACCAAATACTTTAAATGTTTACTTGCAAAATGACTAAGGGAACACTGTTCTGCACCCATCATATGTGCTTATGACTCTGGCAAATCTAAGCAACTCCTGCTATTGATTCATGGTGCGTCTGCTTTGGTACCTACTTTGAAGGTACAGAAATAGCCAGCTGCCGTATGGCTGGTGTGTATAGAACGGGGCTCCATCTCCTCCACTGTCCTATACAATGTTCCAAATCTCAGTGCCTCATACTCAGAGCTGGATCCTAAGGCATCAGATGCATCTTTAACCCAGAGGTCAGCTGTTCCTGTTCTTCTCAGTCTGCTCTTTTCTCTGTTTCCTCAAGAAACCCAACCACACCAAGGATATTGCCATCGTTGTAGTTTTGTGGATCACCTTGCACCTCACACAATATATCCTTCAAAATATCACCGTGCTGGCCCTTCCTGGGTGTCTGCTCCTGGCTGCACAATCACTGGGCTCCTCTTTTTGCCCTTCCCACCCCACAGGTTTCAGCTCAGCACGCCCACCCTGGTTTTGGCATTCCCAGCCCTTTCTTTCTCAGCTGTTTCAATCTCTCCTATCTCTCTTTTTTCCTTCTACAGAGAAATTTAGGGGTTTTCTAGTTTCTACTTCTAAACTTTTATAACTCACAGAGCTCACCAACCAAGGACCTTCCAGGCACTAGGGCCCATTCCCCTAGGGCAGTGGGAGATAGTAAATTTTAAATGAATATACCATAGAGCCAGTATTTTGTGGAAGAGCCACACTCAAGGGGCCAAAGAGCCACATGTGGCTCGCGAGCCGCAGTTCGCCGAGCCACAGTTTGCTGACCACTGCTAGGGCAGTGGGAGATAGTAAATTTAAAATGAATATACAGTGAAATTTCTAACAAATATTTTTACTGTGAAATATTTATATTTTCCCATTCCTACCGCCTAGAAAAAGATCAGGCTATTTATTTTCTAAGTGTCTAAATGAAACCACAGGGCATAGAATAGTGTTGAACTGAACATAAAATTGGGTTTAACATAGAAGTCATTCCCTAAAACACTCACAAGTCAGGATGGGGTGGTGGGGATAAGAAAACTGGGAAATTAAGAAGGGTGAAGGGGATACATTAGTTGGAAAGATTTGGGGAAGGTAGACATTGTCTACCCTGAAAATGCTTCATGATATAATAACCTATGTGTTATTTGGAAAGAGTTTATGAAGGGCAATCCAGTAATAGGACTATGAATCTGCAAGTAGAGAAATAGTGTGATAAATGTCCCTACTCTAGGACATTTGGTTAATGGATGAAATAATTAATAAGGAATTCATACCATAGAGGTGTTTAGCTAGTATTTAAAAAGACAACCAGAATGACCAGATTTATCTCTGATCCATATCAAAAGATTTGTGTTTTTTTTAAAAATACTTTTTTATTGATGTTAGAGAGGAAGAGAGAGATAGAAACATCAATGATAAGAGAATCATTGATCAACTACCTCCTGCACTCCCCCTACTGGGATTGAGCCTGCGACCCTGACTGGGAATCGAACCGAGACCTCCTGGTTTATAGATTAACACTCAACCACTGAACTACACCAGCCGGCCATACATCAAAAGGTTTAATAATTAGTATAGAATGATGGAAATGACTCTTCATTCATATTATTGGTGGGGTTCAAAGTAGACAGACTGGCAAAAAGTACTTCATAGTTAACTCCACATTTGCATGAACAGGAAATAAGAATCCAACAATCCCAGGAGGCTATGCTGTTGAGAATGGTTTGACCCTAAACCTAAGGACTCCATTGAGTTACATGTCTAGACATTTTTGGAGGAGTCTGCTGTCTGATCTAATCAGAAGGTTGGCAGAATCTTACGACTAGAATATTGGTGTATCAGCCTGGAGTGAATCTTTCCTGCAAAGTGCTGGAAAGGACTAAGGAGAGGACATCACTGAATTCACAGAGTAGGTTAATGACCTTTTTCTCCCCCAGTTTTTTTGTATTGTGGTAAGCTACACATGGAATTTACCACTCAAAGCACTTTTAAGTGTGCAGTTCGGTGGTATTAAATACACTGATAATGTTGTGCTACCATCACCACTAAACATCTCCAGAACCCTTTTCATCTTACAACACTGAAACTATGCATCCATTAAACTATCTTCCTATTATTCACTCCCTTCAGCCCTTGCAATCACCATTCTACTTTCTGTCTCTATGATTTTGACTACTTTAAGTACCTCATTTAAGTGGAATCATGCATATTTGTCTTAACTTATTTCACTTAGCATGATATCCTCCAGTTCATCCATTTGCAGCATGTGTAGGAATTTCCTTCCTTTTTAAGACTGACTAACATTCCATTGTCACATTTTCTTTTGCCTACTTGTTTTCTAGTATTTGTAGCGCTGGCAAATTTTGGCCTGAGATTTGCTTTCATTGTAACATTCTTGCTGGTAGCCAGACTTTGGGGGAGGAGAACTTTAGTCCTTACATATCTCTTTGAACCAGGTTACCAACAAGTACCTAATAATTAGGAATGATCAAATTGGTTTAGGTAATTTCTCAACATGTTGTTTATCATCTTTATCAACATCTTTACTATGTGCTTAGTTACTAAATCTAAAGTTCACAAACAAATTTTCAGAAAACATATAGCCATATTTAGTGAAAAGTTGTTTTATGTTAAAGTAGGCAAATTTTCAGCATTAAAAATCCCTTATTAAGTTACCTGATTATTGGTTTAATTCATTTATTTGTAGGATTTTTTATTTATTTATTTATTTTTGCCAAATAAGGTAATTCTAAATAATCTCCAGAGCTTGAACTTTGATTTTTAAATGGAGGCAGAGTTTGGATTCTATCTTTTAGAAAAATGACAGAAAAATATTTTGGGGGGCTAATATTAACTTTTTGCAGGTGTTCTTGTAGCTTAAGGCAGGGGTTACAAAGGAGAAATTCCCTTATAAATGCTATGAGTGTTGCTAGGACACACACCTTTCATTTGTGCATTATTGTTGCAGTTGAGAAAGAGCCCAAGGAGGAGATAAGGGGATCAAGGAGATGGACTTAAAAGATAAAAGAGGAAAGATAAAAT